TAAAAAAAATTTAGTTATTGTAATCATTAATCTGACTTTTAAGAAAGGTCTCAACCTTTGTTGTTTCAGTTTCTTAAGCTTCCTTAGTCTATAAGTGACTTACCTCAAGTTAAAACAAAAGCAATATAATTATTGATTGACTCAAATATTAGCTATTTATGACACTGCTTTCACTGATGTACTATTGTATCCTAACAGCTATTTAAAAAATACTTATAATTCTTGCAAAACTTTTAACTTCCTTAGCTTTTCACTTTAACTAATATTATATAGTATAACGACAACTAAAAAAACACAAATAACTCAATAAAGCATTTTGAATGAAGGTAACATATGATGTCTTATTCCCAGAACGCGATCAATGATTATTTTCAAAGTTTCTACTCAGGGTGTTAACTATCTTTTATACTGAGGACTCCAAAATCTCCACTGGTATTAAAATTTGGTGATACTAAACGTTGAAACCAAATCTTCATTTTCCATTTGATGTATGATGATATTCTAATTGGAAGAAATGTATGCCATATAGTTGACTTACTGGATTTGCGGAAAAAAATAGCACGAGAATTATATCAATATTGGCAATGACACTCAAATTACATTTAAAATTCTTGTTAACTCCTCAAGATCTTCAAAGTTGATCTGTTCTTCTTTTTATTTGCTCAATAAAAGTTGGTATCTGAAGCACTTTTATATTATTTATTTAAGTAATAGGCCATTAAAGCACCCCGACCTAAAAGATCTATTGTGCGCCTAAAGGCATGACAGAGTCGACAGGAGTCATTTTCTACCACACCTATGATCTGAAGCACTTTTACTGAATACTGTCTATGACCACTTGAATGATCCGCTGTAATAAGAGCTCCCTTGAATTCTGAAAAGAAGTTATTCAGAAAATTTTATAGAAGTGTACTTTCAAGCCCAGCATATCTTACTGAAGGAATATATATTGCATTTGATTTGGCAGAGTGCAGTGAATGTAAGATAAATTAATCAATGTTACAAAATTTAATAAACATCTAATATAGGTTCGTGGTCAGTGCAGTGCCATAGTTGATAGATTGGCTGGTAACATGGTCCATGAAGGTTCCGCTAGGATATCTATAGAGCTACCATCAATTTTTGGAATATATGATTTTATGAACTCTGTTCACAAAAGAAGGTGGACAAAAAACTTACACAATAAGCTTTGTGAAAGAACGTGACAGTGAACTGGCTAAAACTTTATAAAAATGTTAAAAATATTGAAATAAAATTTACTTTAATGTCCTGTTTTACTTTAATGTCAATTCGCAACTTTCTGGAGTAAAAGCCAGATGCCTTTTTCGGTTGAATAGTCGAAATAGTTTTACGTTTATAACATATTCCACATTAACTTAATATAAACTTACTGTTGATATTCTTTTTTTTTCCTAAAGAAACAACTATATGGCATACAAGTATTCTTTTTCCTAATATCAAGAACTGCGTCGTTGTAATTTTAAACCTATGGCACAAATATTAGAAAGAAGCATAGGAAATCATTAAAAAATATCTGAATCCAAAACATATATATATTTGATTACCCA